ATTTTACTGATTAAATCTTAGATCGCAATGTTTTTCCTAAAAGTGCAGCCTTTACGTCATTATCTCCACATCAGAGGTCTTAAAATAGATGCCATTACAAAGGTGCAGAAGTGTGTTGACACCCACATGTTTCCTTCATTATTCCACACTTTCAACCTGCCCCAGTCAGTCTTATGTTAACTCTGTGTGTGTATGTAGGTGGTGGACACCCCCGGGATCCTGGACCACCCCCTGGAGGAGAGGAACACCATCGAGATGCAGGCCATCACGGCTCTGGCTCACCTGCGAGCGGCGGTTCTTTACGTCATGGACGTATCCGAGCAGTGCGGTCACACCCTGCAGGAACAGCTGGAGCTCTTCAACAGCATCCGACCCCTGTTCGCCAACAAGGTCAGACGCCAGTAATGTCACAGCTGCAGTGGCAGCCTGAGACAGCTGTTGGGATATCCTGAAAGTATCAGAGACTACGTTACTCATCGTGGGATGAGGATGTAAAAAAAAACACAGATATTCCAGTGTGTTCTGGATGGAGTTTGTGCTTCTTAATGTGAGGCAGCTTTGGCCCAAAGGTTTGGGATCTAAAAAATAAATCTGGGTGGAGAAAGTGAGGAGAGGGCCTGGCTCTGGAAAAGCTTCCCTTAATAAATGGTTTTGGATTTAGGTCGAATTTATCTGGTTCTCACTTCCTAAAATGTTAGAAGCTACCACAGTTTGGTGTTTAAAGATTCATGGCAGCAGATTCAGAGCTAGATCTTCAGTAACTGCAGGTGTCACTAATGAAAGTAATTAAGTTTCAGTTCCATTAAGTGCAGCAGAGCCTTTTCCACTGAGCCAACATGTACGATAGCAGCTCCCTGACTCTGTTTGAATGTAACAGAACATTAATTAGTATCAACTGGGGCTGAAACAATTCCTTGAGTTACTCGAGTAACTCAATTACTAAAAATCCTCCATCAAGGCTTTGTTTATTAAATATAACTATATACAGCACAATGTGTTCTGCACAGGTGATGAATATTGTCACACAACGGGAGGGGAGAAGAGACAGGCCAGAGAAAACTACAAAGTGTCCAAAGTTTATGATCATTTCAAGGAGAAACAAGGCGAAAATTACTGCTCACTAAATCCTACACACTGGTGCTTTAAGCTGTCAGTCTGGCAGTAAATGTAGAGTGTAGACTGTGTGTTGTTTCCTAACTGCTGGTATGCTCACTCACAGACTGTCCAAAGTTCAAACTACAGTGGAAATCCAAGCAGAGGCTCCAAAAGCGAGTCGAGTCGTATCATATGATGCAGTAGTTCCCAACCTTTCGAGCCCGGACCAAAACCAGATTGTTCCCTGCATGGGATTTATTTAGAATAATGATTATATTGTTTTATTATCAGTTTAATTTGTTGTTTTGTGAGGATTATTCCACACTAGCACCTGTCGGCCATATTTTAAACACAGAAGGTGCAAACTCTGCTCTCAGAAATAGATACTGACTCCAAACACCGAACTGCAGAACACAGAATTTAATTTGAATCCATTTGAATGTCTCAGTTAGTGGAAAGGATAAATAAAAGATTGAAGCATTAGTTTGATAGCTTAATACGTTAAGAGGAGAGAGTAATTGAAGTAATTCCGGTGTCTTGTTCCCTGCAGCCTCTCATCGTTGTGGCCAACAAATGTGATGTGAAGAAGATCGTCGAGCTGTCTGAGGAGAACCAGGTGGGTGATTTACAGCTTACACTTAAATTAAATATCTTAAAGCCTCTGAACATCTCATGAAATCAGGTGACTGAACTAGAAATGAACTTGTATCATCTCATTTTTAGGATTATATCCGAGAGCTTTTAGTGATATTTAAATATTAAACTGTTATCTTTCTTACAACATCTTGACTTCACATCTTTTGTTGCGTTTCTGCTGTCAGAAAATCTTTGCAGATCTCACTGCTGAGGGAATCCCAGTGATTGAGACCAGCACGCTGACCGAGGAGGGAGTCATGCAGGTTAAAACTGAGGTGAGACGCAGTGAACTTCAGGCTGAGCTCTGGTGGAGGTGCGGAGGAGCAAAGTGTTGTATCTTGCACGCTGTGGCTCATGGTTATGTGTTTGTGTCAGGCCTGCGACCGACTCCTCGCCGATCGTGTCGAGAGCAAGATGAAGGGCAAGAAGGTCCACGATGTTCTCAACCGGCTGCACCTGGCCATGCCCGCCAAGAGAGACGAGAAGGTAAATATAGTAGGGACACATTTACCTGTTTCTGCTCATCATATATTTGTATATATTTGCTGTCCTCTCTTGGCATGCAATGTCTCCATCTACTGGTGGCTGCATTTGTGAACTATCGTTGGTTTCATTGGGAGTTTTGAGTTTGGCCCTTTGAGGTTGCTGTAGCTGCTCAGTGTTGAAGCAGCAGAGTGAGTCAGCAGCTGATGTTTTAGCATCGTGCTAACACATAAAACAGGAAGAAAGAGAATAAAAACACTGTAGAAAACATAATTGTACAAAGGTGAATAGATTTTGTTCTTCACCTGTGAAATATAGTCACTAACATTAACTCTCTTTTCCAGGAGAGGCCTCCGTTCATCCCAGAAGGAGCCTTGATTCGTAAGAAGGCGATGGAGGTGGACGCACCCAAACGCAAGCTGGTATGTTGTGTTGTTTCCTTCAGCTCATAGAGACACCGGAGATATCTAACAACTCTCTGTGGGGCCTTATAATAATTCTATTGTTCACCGTACAGGAGAGAGATCTGGAGGTGGAGCTTGGTGATGACTACATCCTGGACCTACAGAGTAAGACGTGTTTTTTTATTTAAATAATAAAGCAGCCAGTAAGTAAATACTTACATCTGCAGTGCTGATATCATTTTATTATGTTTTTTTTAAAGAATACTGGGATCTGATGAACGAGGACGAGAAGCATGATAGGGTCCCGGAGGTTTGGGAGGGCCACAACATTGCAGATTACATCGATCCCGACATCATGAAGGTGAGTCTCTGCACTCGTCTTGGTAGAAGAGTAAAATAAAGAAAGTAGAAAGAATTTCATTTATTTGTCCGTCTTCTAAACATCCTGAGGATCTTGATCTCCTCTCTCTCGCAGAAACTGGAGGACCTGGAGAAGGAGGAGGAGCTGAAGGAGCGAGCCGGGGAGTACGACTCTGACGACGAGAGCGAGGACGAGGACATGCAGGAGATCCGCGTTCTGGCCAAACAGATCCGCGAGAAGAAGCAGCTGCTGATCGTGCAGTCAAAGGACAAGGACGTGCACGGGCCCCGCATGCCCAGGACCACCACCAAGGTGAGGAGGGGTCAATTTAAACTCATCACTGCCGTATCTGTATTGGTCTGTACAGGGTTTGTAGAAAATCTTAAAAGATTAATTGTTTTCAAGGTTAGCAATGAGCCTGAATTTGAAAAATGCTGGATTTTTCAACATAATCTTGTTTCATCCACACAAACAGTCAAGTGAACCAA